TTCGAGCGTTCATTTTAATATGTCAAGTAAATAATAATAATAATAATAATCGTTAAAAAAAAAAAGAAAAATGGCGTACCTTTTTTAAACCTCCCCATTTAAGGCTTCTTTTTAACAATTGAAATTTTGATAAATTAATTACATCACACGTGAAAATTTTCCCTTTTATTAATGACTCTTGATAATTTTCAATTGAATTATTATTATTTAAATAATCAAAATTTTTATTTAAATTTAAATCACTTTCCACCATATTTAATTAACTTTTAAATAATAATAATAATAATTGAACAATGTTAAACGCGTTAATTTTTATGTATAAAAAGAGTCAAACACTTTTTTTTTTTTTTTGGCAATAAAACTTATTAAAAAACAAACATCATGTACGTACATAAAAATAACTTTTTCTTCTATCTCTCTCTCTCTTTTTAATTTAATTTTATAATAATAATAATAATAATAATAATAATAATAATAATAATAATGGTTTAAACTTTATCGCGAACTTTACGTTAATAATAATAATAATAATTTATTATTTAAAAAAAAAAAAACACCACGATTATGTTTTATTTATTATTTAATTTAATTTAATTTAAATTAAATTAAAAAAAAAAATTTGACCGAACGCACAAAACGAACGTGTTTCGACTGGATTTTTTTTTTATGTTTTTATGTTTTTTTTTTTATTTTTAGCCCATCTCAGCAAGAATCAACAGGAAATTCTCATATACATACAGACAGTTAAATAAAAACAAGGAAAAAAAATTTTTTTTTTTTAAATAAAATTCTCTGTCACTTTTTTTTTTTTTTTTTTTTTCGTTTCATTAATTTATATGAATTTTTAATTTATATCCTCCCCCATTCCCTCTTTCCCCCCGCCCTCCCTTCCCACTTTTTCCTTTTAACGTTTTTCACGTTTTAAAACGCAATTATTTCATAGAGAAAAAAAAAAAAAACAAAAAAAAAAAATTTTACACGTGGGCTGGTTTGGGTATGTTAAAAAAAAAAAAAAAAAGGAAGGAATTTAATTCTAGAAAAAACTTTAATAACTAGGGACACGTGCGTTTCGTTTTATTTGTCGACAAAATTTAAAATTAAATCATTTGCGACAAAAAAATTCCTAAAACCCCCCTCCTCCTTTCTTCCGCGTCGACGTTTTTCCCTTCTTTTTTTTTTTTTACACGAATGTTTATTTAAATATAATATTAAATATTTCATGTAAAATTGATTTAAATAATTTATTATTAATTATTTAAACATTCGTATAAGGAATAATTTAACCATCACGCGCACGCGCACGCGCACACGCACACACACATTATTATTCATAAAAACCGTTAAAAAAAAACGAAATGAAAATTTAATTTCTTTTTTACGTTAAATAATTAGCCATTAAAAAAAAAGGGGGGGAGGGGGGGGGGCAAAAAATATTCGAATCGTTTTTTTTTTTAAAAGTAATAAAAATTTATCATACCTGTAGGAGATAATAAAAATTTTTCGAAAAAAAAAAAAAAAAAATTCCTCATATTATTATTATTATTATTATTATGCGAACCCAATGAATTAAATAAGTTAAAAAAAAAAAAAATGAAAAAAATGAAAAAAAAAAAAACTTACAGAATCTGTAAGAAGACCTTGTTCCTTCATTCCATTTCTCTTAATGATGCTTTCACCTGAAAACACAAAAATATTAATATTAATAATAATAATATTATTAATAATAATAATAATAATAATAATAATAATAAAGGTAAAAAAAATTTGTCAAGTTCATCATCACATATGAAATAAAAATAATAATAATAATTCTGAATCGTTTTTGCATACCTTAAATTTAATTAACAATGTTTTATTTATTTATTGTTTATTATTATTATTATGTATAAACATAAAAATGACTAAAAACACGCGAGAGAGAGAGAGAGAGAGAGAGAGAGAGAGGGGGGGAGAGAGGGAGAAAATTTTATTTTTATTTTTATTTTTACTTCCCTTGAGAAAAATAAATCGGTGGCACTGTTGAAGTAATAAAAAAAATATATATATGCATGCGTGTGTGAGAGAGAGAGAGAGGAGAGAGGGGGGGAAACCCTCCTTGTTCACCTTCAAAAAAAAAATTTTTTGTCGATTTAATGCTAAAATGTTTTCCTAAAAAAAAACAAATATATATAAATAAATTTTTTAATAATTTTTTATATTGAAAAAAAAAATAAAAATCCCATTTTTATTATTATTATTATTATTATTATTATTATAATTCTTATCATGGATTTAAATAAAATAAAATCAATATGGAGATTTTTTTCTTTTACTCAATCGATACGGATTTCTTTTTATTATAAATATTAAAAACAAATCCAAAATAAATAAATTTTATAATAAGATATAAAAAAAACAAATGCAATTTTTTTTTCCTTTTTTTTTTTTTAATGATGAATTTAACGTTTTTTTCCGCCATTTTATTTATAAATTTAAATTACATACATAAATAAAATTATTTATTTATATTGAACCAATAAAAAAAAAAATTATTAAAAAATAAATAAATAATACACAGGATAGTAATTTAAAAATAAACGAAAATAAAAAGAATACGTTTGAAAACAAAACAAAAAAAAAAAGGCGGGAATCGCCATTTTATTCTCGTTTTAATATTGCCAACCGTATTGGATAAATTAAAAAAAAAAAAAAAAAATTGGTTTTCTTATTATTTTTTTTTTTTTATTTACCTGAGATTTCTTTTTTTTTTTTTTTGAAATTTCACTTAATGTAAATCCATCGAATAAATGATAATAATAATAATAAGGAATGCATCACATTGTATATTAAAAATAATAATAATAATAATAATAATCAATGAAAAATTTCAATAATTTTTTTATATATCGATTAATAACGCATTATATTTTATTTAGGAATTTTTAAAAATTACGAGGGGGGAAGGGGAGGGGGCGTTCATTTTGTTTTGCATTCGATATTTAGTA